GATTACCGTGTCCTCCCCCTCTCTTCGGACTTCGGATAATCCTATAATATGCCAGCGTAACTTGTCTATCTCTTCTTCCAGCTCCACAATCTTCTCGTCAGTCCTCAGGGTGCGTGCGTTGTATGTTGCCAGGTCGAGTCGTCGTAGGTGGCAACCGAACCTCCACCGGAGATTCTTAGCACCCCCTGCCCCGCCGTTACCATGGTCGCCACCGTAGCCAGGAATAGCGGGGCCGCCGGGGACTGGGGCCCGTTTATTATTGTCATTGCTCATGGGGGGTATATTGCTATAGTTGCCACGCTTGGCGAGCGGGTTGGCAACCGCAGTTTTTTTATTGTTATTTTGGCTATTATCAGGAAGATGCTGCTGCCCATCTCCTGCCTGTTTCCCTTTGTCGCCTTTTACGACACACACGGGAAGATATGGGGTAGTGGATATTCTTAACCGCCACTACACGGCAACGAACGTATTTATAGTCGATAAATCTAAGTTAACTCTATTTATTGAGTGTAAGAACATCACACCGTGTATAAATATTAATAGTGTTAGAAGTAATCTTTTATTTTTATTTTTTTTCCTTGTTATAAAATAAAAACGTATAACTTTTTGACAAATTATTGTCAATTATGAATCTTAAACTAAGTTTTCTATTTTTTTCACAAAGACTTCTAAAATCTACTTCTAAAATCTTTATGATAAATACTGAAATTATCTATCCGTGAGTTTATTTTAAATATACTACTAAATGCGGAACTACTTGATGACTGCTAGGACGAATTTTTGCACTGTAATTAAATTCAGTCCACTGGTTATTTCGTAGACAGAAAGCGCTGTATGATCTGATTATTTGTTTTACATTTTTTTTACTCGCACTTGACTCTCGTAGTGACTGGCACGAAATAATTCCTCTTAGTGTATATCCGGCAGTCATAGTTGGTAGTTTTAAGGTTTTAGGAAATTCTCTCAGACTCATTGCTTGATCATTTATTGTAGCTTCACTTGTTTTGTGTGATATAATTCCAAATACAATTATATTCTCTGCAAAATTTACAAAAAACATTATTACACTATTGCTAATTATATTATGCATACTTAGTTATCACCTTTATTCAAACATTAAGTTGAAATGGATTCTTCAGAAAAAAAAAATCCTGATCTACTTGTATCAAAAAGACAGAACAAATCATAAATTTAAACTTACCGACTAAGCTAACTTAAGACTTAGTTTACAATGGTCTTTTTAAATTGTTTTTTTCTGATAAGATCTAAGAAACAGCATTTCGAAATCTTGATAAAGGTAATAATTCGTCAAATGTCTATAATACATTTGTACTTATTAGGGTGGCCCAAAAAAAACCGACTACCTTTATATTCCGAGTCTCTTATGAAAATAGATTAGTTTATTCCGCTTGAAGAGCCCTGTCCAAAAATCAGCTGAAATTTTTTTTAATTGTCTCGTCATTGTATTATTTTATAGGTTGAAATTTATGTAATGTACATTCTGAAAATTTCAAGTTTATCGATTGATTCTCAAAGGTCACTCAAGATTTTTGAAATTTTTAAGGAAGTGGACTTAAGACGTTTTCGAGTGACTTCAAGCTGCATATCGATATTAACGAACTTTTTCTTTTTCTTCCTAATGTTAAGATACTGAAGAATAAAATTAAATCAAGAAGTACAAATAAAAGTCCGAAATACAATTATAATTCCTTAAATTTAATTGACGAATATTCATCCAGCATTTAATAACAAATTGATTTACGCTTTATTTTTTCTTTATATGTTATATATCATTATCTGTATGATCTTTAATTTTAAACGTTTTTTGTATTTTTTATTCTCATTAACAATTATATAATACTCTAATCTAAAACGTTTCCCGTAATTTTTCTCTAATTCTTTATTTTTTTTTCTAATTCTCTAATCTTGAGAATTTTCCAGCATATACATAATTCATCAGAAATTTCCAGTTTATAAATAATTAACTGAGGTAAAGTTTTTTGTTACACAATGTAAGTTAATTGAGAGGTTGTTTTTAAATAAAGGTTTATCAGTTTCTAGAGTATTATATTACATTATATATAAACAAAACAATGTGTCAGTGGTTTGCTCTTTAATGTTTTGTACATTTTTAACCTTTTTTAATTTTTCTACTTTTATGCATATCTGTAGTTTAGTTTATTTATTTTTGAAATTATTAATATAAAATATTGCTAATAGTACAGAAAGAAACAATAACTTTTATATTTTCTGAACATATTAACTTCCCCGCTATGAAGTCTGTCAAATAATATACCTCACTTTCTAGTGGCGCTGCCCTGGTGGCAGAAAAAGTCGTGGATGCCCTCATTCCTTTAAGGGGCTACTCACGCTCTTCATATGAAAATCCATAATTTTGCAATAAAACAATGGAATAATCGAGATAAAACCGTTTTATATATTAAGATAAAAAGATAAAATAGCGTAAAAAATTTTGCCCACCCTGCGTGTGAAACAACAAATGGAGAATGAAATAGACATAGGTAATAGACATGTATCAATCATGAATGATTCGTTTGTTTGAACTGGGAAACCAATTTGCTTCATGTGGGAAACTTTAAAGGTATTAATGATTCATCTGTAGACAAGTTAGTAATTTGTATGTGACTGAGATAATCATGAAAGTTACTAACAAATTACAACTTTACTAAACTATTTTGTCTTTCGTGGCACATGTTTATGAGATACGAAAACTGTCAATGAATTATTTACTTAATAATATATCAAGATTTCAAATATAAGCCCTAACACACAGTTTACGTTGAAGTTCAGACCACTATGTAATCAATTTATGAACGGTAAAATAACGTATTTGTCGTATTTGTTTATGTTTGAACAAAAACTTTTAATATAAACTGGTCGGTAAGCTATGAAATCGTGAATTGTTATGAATGGATTGAACAAACATGATAACTTTATTCAATACCATTATTTATTTTATTTATTTAATAAATTTGTTTATTTTTTAAATAAATAAAAAATAAAATAAATCCATTTTTATGTTTACGCCATCTAGCGTCAGTTATACCTACCACCTTGAGAATCCATCGGTTTTGGTTTGATAAAATGATTAAAACTATAGAAAGATGTAGATGGCGATATTTATTATGAAGCAATTTTACTGGAAAGAAAATATTATTTTGATTATGTACACTAAAGTTTAGGCTTCACATGTCTAAAAGTAAGAATTGTAACATTTATTTGGTTGAAAATTATATTAAATAATATTATGGATTATATAAATTCTGAAAAACAAAAAATGTCGTTCATACCTAATAGTAAGGTAATGGTAGTTTTAAATCCGATAATTTCCGGAATATTACCGTCATCTCCTTGCGATCTCAATAATCTTTCAGCACCTAATTAGCACTTAATTTTTAGGTACTGATACAGAACATAAATTGCCGTTCATACCTTATGGTAAGGTAATGGTGGTCATGGACCCTATAATTGCCATAATAATGTCTGAATCTGTATCGGGTTTCGATAATCGCTCAGCACTTAATTAGCACTTAATTCCTAGCTATTAATATTTATCGTATATCTAATAACGTAATTGCGTTGCTAGCGATACGTTTTGCCAGCAACGCAAATTTCAATCAATCGTTGCGGTGAAAATTTTAGAGCACCTAATTTTTAAACTTGGTACTTAATTAGCACCTAAAAAGCCCCTAATTTGGACTTTTTCTGAAAGCAATTTTGATTCAATTTTGATTTTCAGGAAATCTGAATTTTGCATCTGCTATGTTCTGAATAACGACTTTATTTTTATTAGGGGTGCCTTGTTATTGTTTATACTTGCAGCACCTAATTAGCACTTAATTCCTTGCTATTAATATTTATGGTATATCTAATAACTTTATTGCGTTGCTAGCGAGACGTTTTGCTGGCAACGCAAATTTCAATCGTTCCTTGCGGTGAAAATTTTAGAGCACCTAATTTTTAAACTTGGCACCTAATTAGCACCTAAAAAGCCCCTAATTTTGGGTTTCTCTAAATGCGAATTCCTGATTTTGCGTTGCTGGCGATACACAACTCATTTTTTTATATAAAACTGTAAATATCTTTTTAAATTTTAAATAAATTATTCGTTTTTGTTCTATTTTTGTTGTTTCGTTGTTGTTAGGTTAGGTTCTTTTGTTTTTTGATTTCATATGGGATAGGGACAGTCTCACGGTCAACGCATTAAATGTGCAAAACAATTAAACCATTTACAGAATATACAGAGTGCCACATCATTTCCGTTATGAATGGACGCATGAAGTGAGCAAAACATAGGAACCAAATACGGAATATACAGAGTGCCACATCATTTCCGTCATGAACGGACGCATAAAGTGAACAAACATATGAACTATATACGGAATATACAGAGTGCCACATCATTTGTCATGAACGGACGCATGAAGTGAGCAAAACATAAACCATATACGGAATATACAGTGTGCCACATCCTTTTATCATGAACAGACATCCTAAATGAGCAAAAATTATTCAAAATTTAATATCGTCCTGTCCAATAAAAATTAAATTCCTATTCTACTATGTTATTAGTTAACAGATAAACTAACAATATTCACTCTCTAAACATTTGAAATTCTACCGGAAATAGAAGATGCAATAAGTATCTATCGTAAAAAGACACAAGAAGTCGTCTGCGATGTAAATATATATATATATATATATATATTTTATGGTTGTCAGTTTATGAGTTCATGCTGTTAGCTCATGTAAAAAAACTAAGTAAAAATAAACATCATTTTCATCATTCATTAGAAATCTTACTCAGTTTTTCATCATTTATTAGAAATCTTAATACAGGCATTAAGTTGATACCACATATAATGAAGTGTAAAAAATAAATAAACAAAATCTTCCAAATCGGAATTAATCTAAATCCAACAGTAGTGTTGCTACATGAATAATAAATTATTTATTTTAGCAATTTAATTTCATTTTACCTTTTTATACCCATATCTCTTATTGCAGAAGGAGGAGGTCCTATAAAAATTACTCCTTCATTTGCACATTTCTCACAAAACTCCACATTTTCAGAAAGAAAGCCATATCCAGGGTGAATAGCTTGGCTATTTGATTTGTTTGCAACTTCTAATATTTTTGATGCATTAAGATAACTCTGAGACGATGGAGCAGGACCAATGTGGTAAGCTTCATCAGCCTGCAAAATTAATTTAATTTGCATATTAAAAGACATTTTCGGCTCTTTTAAAAAATTTACAAATAAATAAAGTAAAAAAGTAAGTGACATAAAAGTAAAATAAGGAAAATGCCTAGTGACTGTCAGTCCATATTAAACTGTACACGGGATCCCATTTCAAGAGTCTATCATCATCATTCCATAACCCAATTTTTTAAGACAAGATTTGAAAGGGGAAATCTTTTGTCAACCTAAAGTTAAGGTTTTATTTTAGCTTATAATGGAATACAGTACTTAGTTCTGTGGCCATTATTTTTCTCATTATTATAAAATTGTGAACAGTATTTAAAAAGAAAATGATGTACCTACTTAGTATTAAGTAGTAGTTAGAAACAAAAAACATATTTTTAGTACACATTGTAAACTTTAAGATAATTAAGTTAGAAATACCATTGCCACGTGCATTGCATTTTTGTCAGCATCAGAATACACAGCAACAGTTCTTATTCCCAATTTCTTTGCAGTTCGCATAACCCTACATGCAATTTCTCCTCGATTAGCTATCAAAACTTTGTCTATGTTTCTATGTTGCAGGTTTGTTTTAACTCGAGCATGGTAGTTCTTAAACCCATATTGAATAATTAAAGAATTCCTGAAAGTGAAAGTTATAATATTCACAACTGATTAAATTTAAAAAAAATCAAGAAAAAAAACAAATAATAAGAAACCCATACAGAACTATTCTACAAAAAGTTATATTTACCTAATTTTAAATAAATGTTTTATATTCAGCATGGTGATAAAAAAGATGGAATTACAGATGAAATAAGCGCTTACGCAAAAACACGAAGTATTAATACTAGAGTATATAAATTACTGTTTAATTTTTAGTATCACAAATTAGCAACTGAAGAATAAAACGTTTGAAATAATAAACGTGATACGACGAATATAAGAATATCTTTCTGTATACAAATGTACTCAGTGCGAATGTTACGTCAACCATTCAAATAATTCAAAAACCAGAATATGTCGTCAGTCATACTAACGATATCCCGGTTCCTTATCATTAACAAATTGTAAATTAATATAACGTGATAATGAAAATCAAGTATATCGTGCCTGCCTGACAAGTTCAGTGACCTTTGATCGACACTGACACTAACAGCTGATTGTTGTTGTTGTTTTTATTATTCGCTCGAAAGAGCCGGCAAAGGAACTATGCCATACAGCCTTATCTTTTTTTATTTTGAATATATGGAATTTCACTGCTTCACAATATGTTGATGCGTCACATTGTGCAGCCCTTGGGAGATTTTGACGGCAACTTGAGCCAGCAGACAGCTGACGGTTGGCGATGGTATCTAAAGGCGCCTCTGCAAACAAACAGCTTATCTTGAGAATCCATCACCATCAGAGCACTTGTTTCACCGTTTCCACTAATAGTTCACATGCGTAAACAGTTAATACATAAAATCGCACCACTTTTACATATCAAATCTACTTCAAACTATTATTTAAACCTTAATACAGGAGCAGCAAACCGCTGTCGGTCAAGTTCCCGTCAAAACTCCGCCTCCCTGTTTCCGCCTTACCAGTGTGCCTAGATGAAATTTTACAAAAATACCGACTAACACAGGGCAAATATACATCACCGCAATAAATGTAAAAATTTATTTGAACATTCTTCTCGAAACATTCAAAATTGACACAACCTCCTACATATTTAACAATTATTTTAATTTGTGATTTTAAAATTGCTGATACAACACATTGAACACCAAATGTAAAACCGGGATCATTCTTTCATTTAAATGAAAATATCTCCGAATTTCATGAATTTAGGTACCGTAATGCTAATTATAAACTATCTAGCAAGTTATACCTTTGACGCTCCTTATCAAGTTCGATTTATGCTTTTCAGTATTTGCATGTTGCTTTATAGTTTCACATAGAATGATGATGATGAGTCTCACAAACTCAGAAAGAGAATGAGTTCGCCGCTTTTTGAAAAGCATGCACTTTTCAAAAGGCAGCGAACTCATCATCTTTATTACGTGAAAACCACGAAGAATTTTTTTGATTTGTTCCACTTTGCCCAATAACTTTGCTGAAAACAAAATACGCTTTTTGGATGTATTCGTTAAATAAAAAAAGCAGAGAAAATACGCGATCTATTTATGTGATGACAGAAAACAATCTTCAAGATTAAGTCAAGTACAGAACAGAAAATAATTTCACTTGAAAAACTATATTAGACGATTCGATACTATTTGTAATTCATACACAAAAGTATTGTATGTACCTACTTACCCATTCATATAACTGCAAACTTAAAAGCCAGATCTTGTTTTGAAAATAATAGATTATATATTGTATAGTTTAATAATCCTACTACGGCGACCGCCTGTCATGTTCAATCTGTAAATTATTGATCTTTGCTCCTAAATAAAATGTAGACTAAATCGGAGAAATTCTTTGAACCAACTCTGAACATCAATGTCCGCAACGTTCGTGAGGACGATCGCTATGGTGCTACCATAAATTTCTCACCATAAGCTTCCATAAAATACCATAAAAATCTTATCGAAAATATACTCAAAAATACTGACTTCCAGCAATATACCTACAAAAATACTGATGTTTGAAAAATCGATAAAATATACTGAAAAAGTATTGAATACCGAATTTGGTCACGCTTCGCCTTACGAAAGTACGCTTTCTTTGTTTTGGTAATGGACTCGTACGATTGTACTTTTGCCAGTGCCAAGTATAAAATTATCATGTACATTAATTGGAACGAAGTTCGCGGTACGAACGGACGGGGGCTAGGCGAGAAAAAGTGTAAGATTTTTCCGTCATGACCCCCTTTCTATAATGCGAGTGAGATTGAATAATATCCATCTCCCTCGCACTTTTTCTTATCTTGCCATGAAATAAATATTATTTTAAATGGCGTTTCATTTTAATAGACGCTAGTAATTCATTTATTTGTATTTGTTAATCAATAATATAATACGTTTATTAATAATAATATACTACAAAAGGAAATTCGTTCCAACGGAGTTTTCCACGACACTCACGCATGTTTTTGTTTCAAAACTGTTTCACAATGTGTTGATGCGTCACAATAAGAAATATATGTAAAATAATCACTATGTTTTAGCACTACATTTCTGTTATCATCAAAGAGTTTTACAACAAACAGTCCAAAATACAATTTAAAACCTCAGTAGAAACAAGCAATCCTGTATATTTTTGTAATTACTAGGCATAAACAAAGGCATCTACGCTCATGCATTACATTACTCCGTTGTGTATTTATATTTTGTCACAAATTTTACAATATGCTGAAGCGTCATATTGCTATGTTTGTGAAAGATTTAGACGGAGGCGACGGTCGATGACAATAGTATCTCATGGATATACTACTAACTGAATTCCGCACTTAGTACCATATATCATATAACTAGCTGTCCCCTGCGACTTCGCCCACATGGAATTTGTTACGATTGGATTTCATGGGTTTTAATCTTTTTGGGCGGAACCCTAACTCTTTTTCTAAAATATATGTAGTTTAAGTTACTCCTTATAACATCAGCTGTGGCGTGATCGCGGAATAGGAAGAATTTCAAATTATCCCAATTCATACAAATCTGAACTCTAATATCTTGGGAATAAGCTCGGTTTTCGAATCACAAATACTATTCAAAAGGTCCTAAAACTATCTTAGTTGCAATAGAAATAAAACTTTTTATAATGGGAATTAAGTTCAAAAATGCAAAGCAATAAAAATATTCCTGCTCCGCGACCGTGCTTTATCTGTCAGTGAAAATCTCATCATAATTGGTCCAGCCGTTTCGGAGATTAGCCGGAACAAACAGATGGACAAAAATTAAAAAAAAAATGTGTTTTTGTTATAAGTACCTTAAATACGTTCATATGCATTTATTAAAAAGCTGTTTTTTTGACATTACAAACAGACACTTTAATTGAATAAAACTATTTTTTCGGATTTTATCGCGTTTAATTAACTTATTTTTATATTCCCGACGTTTCGGGACAACCGTGGTCACGGGGTACTCCCCCGTGACCACGGTTGCTGGAAAGCAACCGAAACGTCAGGAATATAAAAATAAGTTAATTAAACGTGATAAAATCCGTAAAAATAGTTTCATTTAATGTGTACTGTTCGCGTAAATATAAGAAATCATTATAGACACTTTAATGTTTTTTTCTTTGTATAGATGTACAAAGATAATAAATAAAACTATACTTTAAGTTTTGGTTGAAAGGTCGATATTAGACTATTTTGTTTGACGAGAAATGTGATACGACGAGGGATATAGCCATGCGGAAGCCCCCTGTTTCTTTCTAAGTCATCCTTATTTCAATTATTTAATTTCTCTTAATCCTTTTTTCAACTCAAAATGATTTCTTGTAAATTTAATTTTATGAATACTAGCTTGTGTGCTGCTCCGGTACCTACGCGATGTTCCTTTTGATTAATTAAATCAGTGACAGGACTAACAAAAAAAATAATACGCTTGTGGTGCCAAGGTACCACGTGATTTCGGAACGTCGTTACTTTCTATAAAGTCTCAGGTCTAAAGTAAATAATTATTTTATTGAGTTTTGTATTATAGGAATTTGACCTGGACCTTGTTTGAAATGGTTTTTGATACGTGATGGTGGTGCGAGTTTGTGTATTTAATTAATACTAGTGAACTATTAGTGAAAACGAATTTAAAAGTTTATTAATGCTTCGATGGTGATAAAAATTTTAAGGGTTTTTATTCGCATGTGCTGCTTAAGATACTATCGTCATCAACTGTCCTCTGGGTTAAGCTGTCATAGAAATGTCCCAAAACATTAGTCATTAGCATAATGTAAAGAATTTAGTAAATAAAATACACATCAGACAAGATTGTATGGTCTAAGGTCTTTGCCTGGTGCCTGCCTTAATTGGTAAATTGTAACAATAACAGATAAGAAAAAAAGCGCGGGAACCTTGAAACGTGATAGGCGCCTTTTTTTAAACTAAAATTTGAATTTTGTTTTATTTAGTTAAAAGGCACTAAACTTTTATTGTTTTATTGTTACTGGGTATCCTCATCATGGGGAAACGTACAAAAAAAAGTTGCGGGGAGAAGAAGAAGTGTTTGAAGAAACGACTGAGGAGGAAGAAATTTATACCAATACTGAGGAAGATCCTGAGAAAGAGCAGCCTATAAGCCGTACTTTGTATCTGACTACAACAGGAGGTGCCCTGAGGACTCTATTCTCGTTGATTTTGTTGTATTTGTCGAATCAAATGATGAAAGAAGGCCAATCGGCACGCGGGACATGATGTCTCTGTCCACACTTATGAAGAGGTTCAATAAAGGCATTAAATATTTGCAATCTATGAATAAATACAAAATAGGCGTTCATTTTGAAAAGCCCTCTCTAGCGAATGCATTTTCAAATAATATTACTTTTCTTAATGAATACAAAATGAAGGCATCTATCCCAGCTGTAGGGACAGAAATAACAGGAGTCATAACCAATGTTCCCACTAATCTTTCTAATTCAAGAATTTTTGGTATGTTAACGACTTACAGGAAGATAATATGTGTTAAAAGGATAATGAGGAAACATAAGAATGATGCAGGACGCAGTTTGCTGCAGCCGACGGGCACCGTGGCCATCATATTCGCTTTTAATATTTTGCCGGACCACGTCGATCTTCATGGTTGGCGGTTCGTGGTAAATCAGTATATTCCACCAGTGAAGCAGTGCTACAATTGTCTGAG